CAGTTTTCAGAATTTCTTTTCAGATGGCTAGCGCCCATTGGTATATGTGCATCGCTTGATATTGGGCTATCAAACTGGGCGCTCGAATATGTCACCGTCAGTTTGTACACAATGGCAAAGAGTAGTTCCATTCTGTTCATTGTGGCATTCTCGCTACTGCTACGATTGGAGAGGTCATTTTGCCTTATGGTTTTTTGTTTACTTGTTACCCGGTAACCGTCAATCATAATAATTTGCGTCAAGTCCAATGCGAAAGAGAAGGAATGTGACAGCACCACCACCCCACGCTACGTGCCGCGAGCTTGACTTCAAAGTGCTTTGAGACCGAGGATCAACAGTAAAGCGCTCTTTGTTCTGACCTACCGCTCCTCGGAATGCGCCAGGTCTTGACTTCCATTCAGAGCTTTGATGACTCGCAGATGCATGTTTAGCCCAGGAAGTGGCTGGCTAATGCACAAGGTGGTGTTATTACCTTGCCAAATGGGTCTGGTACCGAATGGTGCTCAACACGGCTCAACGAAACGCTTGCTGACCGGGGTGTGATTCGAATTCAAGGCAAAAGCGCTTATCCACCCCCCTTGCAGATCAGGCCATACGGATCATGGAATCTTGCGCAATCTAGCAATCTGCTAGCTAGTTGGCTTGACTGAATGGCACACAGCGCCATTTCGCTTGACTAAATTGGGTCCTGGAGCGAAGAACGCGTACGCCTGCCCGCATGGCCTAAGCTGCGCACTTTGATAGGAGATTCCGTTAGAAGGAAACTGTACTGTGGAAGAGTTGGAGAATCAAAGGGGAAAAAATTCGACTGGTCATCTGTCCAGTTCTCTTACTCGTTAGTTATACCTTCCTTTTCGTGGAATCCACGATTGTCAAGGTTCCGCGACTCTCCGTCGTCGCTTTAACCTGCTTTCATACTTTGCGTCAACATTTCAAGCGTACGGCAGCGTCTTGAGCGATTGCCCGCGAAAAGTTCAAAACTACCCGCAAAAAGCTGACGCAAAGCATGAACGCAGCCTTAGATGAATGTTCACTTTGTTTCGCCGAAGCGATGCTATTCTTCAAAGCATTATGAGCCGAAGTGCTTTCACAGCCCAGACAGTGCTATAAGTGTATCAAACTAATGGTTCATTGTTCAGGTGGCGTCCGACACTCGGTTTGGAAGCTGCACTTCATTGCTAGCGGTCTTTTCCTTGTTTACATGGCACTCGTCTCAATTAGGACCTCACAGGGCTATTACTAGGTAGAGCTTGCAGCCTCATGTACAGGAGTCCGGTAATGTTTCGTCTTGTCATTAGTTATCGTTTCTTTATAGGTTTATTAGCACTTATTGAATTTGAAAGAATGACTTCCAAGGCCAAAGCAAATCGTTTCTCAGTAGACGACCCCCCCCCCTAAGTCGAGAGGGATATCTAAAACCTGTTAACCGTAGGACTCTCACCCATCGGCCAAGTAGAACCTCGCTCCTCAGAATTCAAAGTACGACACCTTCTTTCTCCCTGCTAAATGATGATTTTTCAACTATATGTTGTGAGGAATGCAAAGGAATGATTTCTGAAATGCTCGAGGCTCAGTTTGGCTTGGGCCGTCTTGTCGAGCCATCGAATAGAAATCTGGGAATCTCGTAAAGTCATGGAGTAATACCAGTCAAAGTGCGTCGACGATGGGAAGTAGTGAAAGTGCAGAATGCCCCCTTCAAGAGGAAAAACACCTGCTCGAGTCCTGAGAAAGTCCTTATGTCCAATGCTCTCGAAGAAGTCTTTCATATGTAGGTGGACTGTGTCACAACTGGTCATGCAAAGAGAAGAGCAGGCGCTGAACCATCCTCTAGATATGGTAGCCCATGTGCAACCTTGGATGCTTATCCCGATTGTACCACTTATAATTGTATTTGAAGGTTTGCTTTTGATAATTTGAATGAAGAATTAAATCAGCTGTACTGGCTTTTGATGCTATGTGATACAATATTTTAGGAGCGGAACTCTCCTACGATAGTATACTGTATTTGAACGGGCATTATGCACCTGTGCAAATCGCTTTACTGGTGATATGTGGCGGCTTACTTGCGTTTTGTATGGAAATGTCAGGTATATTTACAGCACAGAGAATGGCTCTTATAGAAAGAACATACACTTCTTATCTTGCTTTATTATTTTGATTTTTGAAGATAGCGTTGCTTCAGGCAAACGAGTTATATATGCTACAATGTGCCTAATATTACTATGAATTTCAGAATATCTACTTCTTGTTCACACATCGGGAATTACCTTGAACATATTCGGGATTTTGAAGGTTAGATTTTACTTAACGTTTCATTTGGCACCTCTCAGAACACTAGAG